TGTGGAGCTCTGTTATACACTCAGACACATTACTGGGAGTATTATTGCTGTGGAGCTCTGTTATACACTCAGACACATTACTGGGAGTATTATTGCTGTGGGACTCTGTTATACAGTCAGACACATTACTGGGAGTATTATTGCTGTGGAGCTCTGTTATACACTCAGACACATTACTGGGAGTATTATTGCTGTGGAGCTCTGTTATACACTCAGACACATTACTGGGAGTATTATTGCTGTGGAGCTCTGTTATACACTCACATTACTGGGAGTATTATTGCTGTGGAGCTCTGTTATTCACTCAGACACATTACTGGGAGTATTATTGCTGTGGGCTCTATTATACACTCAGACACACCCTCTCTCTAGGATAGTGAAGAGAGACATTTCTAAATCCAAAATAGGGACTGTCCCTAATAAAAAGGACACTTGGTAAGTATGCTCATGTGGCATAGTTTGTATTGTCCCAGCTTATTGTGCAGTGTCATAATGTGCTGTATCAGGTCAGATGTTGTTGCTACGTGCTAATGTCATGCACAGTAATAGAATGTTACGGATCCTGTGATACTTGTCCATAGTGACAACTGGGAAATAAATTCCACCATAACTAAATCAGATTCCAACCATCACATACTGCAAAGGGAGAGCAGGATGATGATATGAGATGGACTCACCCTGCAAGCTGTATATAAACAATACTTTATATGAGTTTTGATATCTATAAATATTTACCATCGCGCAGGTCACTCGGGCATCGAAAGGTATCCACAATGTGTCGAAAATGTCTGCAATGTTCCTATATAATTAAATCTCCAAAACTGGGATGTCTGCACTAATAATACAAAGACCTATGTGTAAAAGAAAGTACAAGGAAAATATAAAGCAAACACAACATTATTACGTAAAATGATTAGTTGATTAGCTGGTAGTTCATTCAGCAATCCACCATAATACCACTGAGGCATATTCACTAAATTGTGAATTGTAAAGAATGTAAAAGTGAAAAATTCTAAAATGCAAAACAGCTCGTTGGAGAACTTGTTAAGTTCAGCGATTTTGGTTTCCAGTTTCCAATACAAACTTTAGTGAATAGGCTCACTTGAGAGCCCTTCTGTTTAATTATAGTATAACCTGCATGAGAACCCCCTAAATGAGTTAAAGGGCCCTATAGACTGGACTTAATTAAATCTGCCAAAAAGTGATGACTAGTAGAAAAGGAGATATAGAAATAATAAATATATATGTGTGTGTGTTTGTGTGAAACGCGTAGGGTTGTTTTTATTTTAGGGATTACGATAACACTTGATAGTGCCACTCAGCATATGTTGCTACATTACAAGCTGCTACTTTGGAGATTTGCTTCAGCATGATTTCCCAGCAGGAATTTTCCCATGGGGCAACTGCCTTAACAGTGTGATCACCCTCATAATATCTAGACCACCCATTTATTGGGTTGGAATGTAGTGGGATATAGCTTTGTGGTCTTCCTTATACTGGTATAGGGAACATTCAATCATATTGATTTTGTACCTGTGTTATTTTACGTGTAATAAATAAAAAAATATATATATTTTTCAACAGTGATTTCTGTGCCATACTTTTTTGTTTGTATGCTCTGAAAACGCAATGGCTGTTTTTAATAACCCACATGTCCAATCTGTTATCACTGGCTTTTCTGAGACATTTTAGGTGCTTTATTTAATAATATGTTAAACTAAAATGTAACTTTGAGCCAGAATAGCATCTCTTATTTACACAAACTGATTGCTAAACACATTTATTGTAGACACATTAATGTGAGTATTATTGCTGTGGAGCTCTTTTATACACTCGGACACACCAACAATATGGAGCTCCTAGAAAAGAGGGGCAGAGGGATTATGGCTCAAAATAGGGATTGTTTCCACCACTACAGTGATTCACAGTACTTCAAATCAAACACTAATATTATACTGTCCCGCGAAACCAGGGCCTTCCCAGAGAACTCACCCATTTTGAGTCCCTGTGTTCACAGGGTAAGAAACTGGGGAGAAGCCTATCTATTCTTTACAAACAGTTGATTACTCCCAGTCAGCCTTTGCTGCATTATGGAGCGCTGAGAAGATGAACTTGAGACTGTATTTGCAGAGGAACAGTAGTTTAAGATGTGAACATTCCTTCATGGTTTGTTCATCACCTCCTCAATCCAGGAAACCAATTACAAGCTATTATCGAGGTGGTATCAGGCGCCCCGCCTACTACCTACACTATACCCGGGAGTATCAAGTACTGGAGTTCTAGCATGGGAGTGGGTACCATGCTCCACAATTGTTGTGACTGCCGTATGATCAGACCATTTTGGAATCAGCTTTATGAGGCCATGACATTGATTGTGGATGATGAAGTACCTTGTTCTATCCTCTCTCTTAATTTAAAAAATCCCTTACGAGGCACTACCTTAATGCCATGAAAGTGGTGAACCCTACCCTCTGGAAATGCTCAACCTTTCCAAGCTTTGGGCAATGGATAAATTAGATGGAGGAGACAAGAAATATGGAGGCATTGACGGTCGTTCTATAGAGTAGAGACGAGAAGTTTTGGCATATTTGGCTTTTGTGGCTAGACTATGCAGCTCACTTGGGAGAAGGATAGGGCATATATGAACCATCCTGGCCCTGGGTGCCCTGGGGTTGTAGTATTTAGTGTGTTCTATTTGGGGTCAGAGCCGAAGTTGTCCCAATATTTCGACACCTTTTGTGTTTCTTTCTATAAACGTACTGGCTGTCCACTTATCCCTACTGCCTGTTCGAGGGCTGGAATGCTTTATGTAACACAGCTTTAGACACCCATCATGAACACTGGGAGTCTAACCTATAGAGTAACCTCTTATAACAGAAGGTTAATGTGTGCTTATAAATTTGCTATCCTTGGTTAATTATGGAGTCAAAAAATGAGCCCAAGTTTCCACACATTATCACATTATCACTTAGAACTCCGATAGGTCAGCGAAGTCCCACAACATTTGAATAACACATTTGAATGACACTCATAGGAACTGGAGCTGTCCAACTAGGTAACACCCATCAAACTTTATTGACTATACAGTCAATAATATATTGTAAACCATGTTTAGCTTGATCCCTGTCAAGGCAGAGATCACAGAAGATGAAATGGGAAACCTTGTGTTCTTTTCTCGTTTCCTACATTTTCTGGTATAATTTGTCTTTATATTCAAAAACTGAAAAAATAAAGACAGTAAGAAAAAAATAAATAGGGACTGATCCTCCTAAATAGGGACACTTTGGAGGTATGGAGTGAGCTTACATTCTAAAACCTAGTAAAACCTTGTCCCATAGAAGAAATCATAAAATAAGATTCAGATTAATTGCTTTAAACGTTTACTTTGGGCAGCTGTTATACCTTCTGGTTTTAAAGTTGCTTGCCAATTAGCTCTGAGGTTGTTCTCATCCCATGACTACTTGTTAAAACATTAGGAGATAAGAGATAGGAAGTAGCTAGGGACCAGAGAGGCAGGACTTTGTCTAAAATGACATAGAAACCAAACATAGCTGGAATTCATTTCAAACATCCTATAAAGAGGCACCATCACTGTTTGGTTGTTATGCTACTTGGGGTTATTTGGATTGGAACTCAACTGCAGCTTCTAGAACTCCTTAATTACAATAGTAAAGAAACGAAGAATCCTTAAAGTATCAATACTGTAGCTTTAAGAAAAGAGAGGATTGCTGGCAATTTGAGAATCAAACAAAGTTTTAATGATTGATAAACTTAAATGAATTGCATATAGGCAATAATCCAATAAGAAGAAAGTGCAGGTTATCAAACAATACAAAGTTCATTAATAAGTATTTCCTCAGAGAAGTTTTTAATAAGATTCTTTAGGTGGATGGGAATAATCTTCAATAGAAACATTAAGCAGGTAGCAGAGAGTATTTGCAAAGCAAGAAACAGTTCATAGTAAATAAGCATGATGGGAGTTGTCCTCCATATAATTAGTAACTTGAAGCAGAGAAGAATTGAGCAAGCAGGAATTGGTTCCAAGAAACAGTTCATAGTAAATAAGCATGATGGGAGTTATCCTCCATATAATTAGTAACTTGAAGCAGAGAAGAATTGAGCAAGCAGGAATTGGTTCATTAATAAATGATATTGCAGACAATAGTTGAGATATACTTAAGGTTAAGGTGAGTTGTCCGCCAAGAGTTCAGAGTTATAGTCCACTTGTAAATTAGCAAAGTATCCATTCTCCAGTAATCCTTTATGGCATGCAGCAATCCTTGCATTGGCTCAAAGGCTGGGACGGCTTGTCAGAGCTTGTGGAGCCAGCGTGTATACCCGGAAGTAGGTCCCACAATCACCAAGCGCCTTTTTCTTGGCGTGGTCTCCCTAAGTGCTGTCAGAGCCGGGTCAGAAGGGGGAGGGGCCGGCTCCACAATACGGAAGTGCCGAACCTGGAAGAGATACCGCATGACACTGGTGTCTTTGTCGAATTTGCCAAGTCCCCTGACAGTAACATCATCCACCGTAGGTCCTGTGGGACAGGTAAAGGTGAGTTAACTTACCTGTACCTTTCCCTTGTAGGTGGGGCAATCTTGATTAAGCCGGATCCCCTCGACACTGACATCATTGCTCTACTCTCGCACATTCGCAAGAGTACAGCATCACGGTTTATGGAGGATCCCACAAGGCCATCACTGGGCTCTCGTGATGGCTATTGGGATTGACTCCTAGACTCCGTCCTAAGTCCAAGAAAATCTGGTAGAGGATAAATATAGAGACAAATTAGTTCCTACTTTGTCTCTGTAGCTACCTTGACAGGAATGGCATTTCAGGTGAATTCCAACACAGTCAAAATGAGTATTTCATAAAAAGTCATAGGGGATGACAGCCCTGCTTTAAGTGCAATTTTCATGGAAGTAAGAAGACGCAACAGTTTACAAAGTACAAAAATCCACAAGGTTATTTACTAAACTGCAGTTTGTAGGAATTGAAAAACTCTCCAACTTGACAATGTATCCGAGCCAATAATTTTGGCCTAAAATTTTAAATTACCTTATTGAAATGCAAATTGTTTGGAAATCAAAACTGCTGAATCGGAAAAAGTCTCCAAGTCAGCTGTGTTTACACATTTGAATTCCTGAGAAGCCACACTTTTTAGTAAATAATGTTGTCTGTTTGTGTTCTGGCCACCTCGAAGACAAACTATTTTCCAAAGTGCTGGTGAAAGCCAAATGCATGCTTCCAGCTCACATACCTTTATATATATCCCATTCTAACATCATATCCCACGTGGTGATATCCCCGAAGTCCTGTGTGAACACCGTCAGCAGAGTAATGTAACTGGCTGTGATTGCAACATAGCGTTAGGAGTCGCAGTGAGGTTAAAAACTGCTTCGGAGTAAATGCTGCTTTTCTGCTTTGATTCTAACAGGTTTATTCGCTAATCCGAATTACTATTTTAAGGTCAGAGTAACCAACTGAATTATCAAAATTGTTCCAGATCGGCTATTTTGACCTTAAATTTAAAATTTAGTTTAAATTCTCACTTTGTGAATAACCCTGTAACAAGTAAGTGGGTAAGGTGCAAGTGAATCAGGTCTAGGCAATCATGTATGGAGCAATAGTGAACAACCTCTGCTGTTATAAGGCCTATGGAGTATCTCCATGCTGCATACTAAGGTTTGTCGCTAGAAGGTGGATTGTTGGGAATGCAAAGTGAATTCAGAGTGGAGTTTAAATTTTAAACCAAAACTGGCAAGAGGGAGTAATTCTCCAAATTGGTCTATAGTTTCAGTTTGGCTATTCTAGCCTACAATCTCAAATTCACATAGAATTTGCCCTTTGTGAATATCTCTCAGGGTTAATCCCAGTGCCTTTTTGTACGGCCTTCATTCACAAAATGACCCTTTTGAAATATCCTGTTTCATTTTCTTTGTCCCTTGCCTAAAAAAATAATGAACTTTGAAATAAAAAGGTGGCATTTTAACAGACATTACATCCTTTGTTCACCTTTGTTAAATATTTACCATTAATTCATTATTTTCAGACCCTTTGTCATCTTTTCTACGGACCTCTATGGAGTCTTCGTACAACTAGACGTGCAAATTCCAATAGTAATGCACCTTATAATTATAAAAATAATAAGAACTATGCTGCTTTGCCACCTTCTAATGCTGGTCTCTGGCTTGTGTCACTGAGTCTGTGCCAGGTCACCCAGCATGCTGTGCTTGAAGACTCTCGTGTTGTACAACACTCGGCGCGATGTGAAGTGGGGAGATTACACAGGGAAGGTATTTTATCTCGGGCACTACGAGGCGAGCGAAGATGTGATAAGGATGTGTTAAAAGTCAAGGAGGTGCCGTTGACATGAAGACTATTCCGACTCACACTTCCCGAGGAATCATGTGCTTAGATGACAACAGACATTGCAGTGGTCACGGCTGCGTCCATGCCAAAGGTAAGAAAAAGCAACATTTTCTTTCATTATTATCGGTCTTTACTTGAATAGTGGATGAGGAAGAAAAGTACATTAAAACTTCCTTCATTATGGATGTGATGGTCTTTGAAGTCATAACAATCTGGTTTTAAAATATCCTGTTCCCAAATGGAATGTCTCGCTCATTTAACAACATCAGGGCCTTATGGAGCTTCCAATGTTCAATGTTAGTAGAACATTCTTGGTGGATCAAACCAAATTAAAAGAAAGCAGAGAAAGAAATTGGAAAATACCATGATTTGAATTGTCGTCCATTTCGTTCTTCACAGAACAGAGACTTTTTACCCAAATAGGCCACTTGTTGATCAAAGATAGACCAACTAAATAATACTTTTATGGCAAAAATGTATCAAACTCAGACTGTGATGGCTTCACTCCAAGACAATGGCAAAACTGATGGATTGGGGAGCTGTGTCCTTGTTATTGTTCTTTACGTTTTCTTAGACCAAAAACAAGCAAAGGTATTTGACCTACTTTAATACGACCTTATTATCTCGCTAAGTCATTAATTCATTACAAACTGTACTTCCTACCTTACATGAATACTTTAGTTCTCTTTATTTCAGTTATGTCCTATAAGGCCCTTAAAGGCACTTTTAAATCTTCTTTGGATTGTAAACTCATGTGCCAACTAACTAGGCAGATTTTTGTCCACGTAATAGAAATATACTAGATTATAAACTAATATTGTAAAGCGCTACGGAATATGCATGTGCTATATAAATACCAGTAATAATAATAATAATAGACATTGTTCTCTATTCCTTCTATACTGGTGTGTCTAATAATACATATTGGAAGGTCAGGAAAGCTTCACTTGTAAATAACCATTTAGCTTCACCAAGCATCCTGGGTAAACAAACTAAATAGAAAATGAATAAAAATGAATTAGCTCGGTAAATAATGTAAAACAGGCTCTGATTTCACAAAAACTACCACATGACTGAAAGAATTTCACAATTTCAGTGGTTTGATGTTTGCTTGTTTTTGTTTTTTTTTGCATTTAACTTTTTCTAATCTGTTCATTTTCCAAACATTACATGTTTACATTCAATATGTTTATGACAATAGAACCGCAGAATTTGGATTAATCAAATAGGCCATTTAAAATGATGTTGTTTCTGTATTTTATAAAAACTTGTGCCACTCTGCTACTGTCTTTTCCATTTCTCAATGTTAGAGGCTCCATTATTTGTATTATTATCCTGCAAAGCACTAACAGGTTTTACGGACCTGTTTAATATGACAGAGTAACAGACAGGTTGGCATACGGAAAAAAATAACATGTAAACTGTGCACAGATTCGAACAGATACAAATTAACTGAGCTCCCTGATCATGTGTGTTTACAATGTGTCAGGAGGTGGATTGAATGAAATGGGCAGATCAAACTGTAACTGAAGATCCCCTGGAGAGATGGACTGCTTAAATAGCATTGGGGCGGGGGGTTGGGGGGTTACTTTCCAGAGTCTGGCAGGAGTTAATAGTAAGCATTTCTGAAATTGGTGGGTGTTTAGAGAGGTCTTAAAGAGATACTATAAGCCTCAGCTAGGAAGCCTTCAGCACTCCAGATGTTAAGGACTACATCTCCCCTGATGCTTTGCCAGCGGTATGGCTGTACGTGGTAAGTGCATTATGAGAAGTTTCAATGTCTGGAATGCCGAATATTGGCCAACCCTGCTGTAAGCACTGAAACAACTTTATCTTAATGACGCCGCTAACTGTATACTACACCTAACCCTATTCTTACATTACCTCTAACCGAATAGCTGTCCGAACATTAACCTTAACATTACACTATCCCCAACCCTAAAACAGCATTAATCATAATTAATCAACCACAATTAACCCTTACTTTAATCTAGCACTAACCCTTATTCGAATCTAACCCTACAATAACACTACCCATAACTCTAACACTACCCCTAACTCTAAACCAAACCCTACTCCAATGGGGACATGCTGGAAGTCCAGAACCTGGGGTTGTCCTTCGAGCACCTGTCAGCCCAGAATTTCTGTCGCTAAGCTCAGCCACAGTGTTCTCAATGCATTGAAAGGGCTGCATATAGTGTTCACTTTGAGCACTGCATAAGCACATCAGTCAGCCTGGGGCAACTAAATGTGGCCCCCAACTGACAGCGAAGTCCCAGCTATTGATTGATACCTGGGACTCCCTGGTGTAAGCAGGATATAGCACTACCCACTCCACATTGCAGCAATAAGCATTTTAATCCCTACTTGAATGTCTCTAGCAGCGCTTGCTTTGAGCACTGCATAGAGTTAATACATTGCTCCATGGGACGGAATGCCATATATGCGCATTGGAAAAAATATACAAAATACAAAATAAATGTAAAAAAATACATATTTCAGGTTTGCTGGAGTTTTTACTTTACAGAAAAATCCTGAAAAAAATAGTGACTTCTTTCTCCTCACATGGCTGTAATCAAAGGTGTTGCCAGAAGGAAACTTTGTGAGCTGAAATCCCAGATCTGGGGCTCTTGAGTGGGGTGGTAGGAGTATACTAGTGGTTTTTGTTTTTTTATTTAAATTTAACATCAGGCTACTGCTTCTGAAAACAGCCATCTATTATAAAAAGAAAGGTAAGTACTTAGGGAGAGGGGTTGATGCCTTCCAGGTGAGTGTCGGGAGAGGGCTCTGCGGAGCAAAACTTTCCTACACACTCTTCTATTAGTTAGGCAGAATGGCGGAATCATATTGTGTACCTACATGGGATTGTTTCTGGTTATATTTTCATTGACATCCAGGAGAGAATCAGCAGAACCTATTCATGGGTAGACAGGAGGGGACATAACACCCTAAAGAATTAACATGCCATGAGATATCTCCACCTCTCTATCAATATTATTATTTATAAAGCGCCACCAAATTCCGCAGCTCTGTACAATGGGTGGACGAACAAACATTTAATTGTAACCAGATGAGTTGGATGCACAGGAACAGAGGGGTTAAGGGACCTGCTCAATGAGCTTACATGCTAGAGGGAGTGGGGTAAAGTGACACAAAAGGTAAGGGTAGGGTAGAAAAGTAGGTTAGCTAGAAGGGTATTCACTATGTGACAGTTGCAGGTGGCTAAGCCATTAACAGTTTAATTGATACTCTTTCCTGAAGAAGTGAGTTTTCAATCATTTTATTTGAAGGAATAGAGACTGGGTGAACGTCTAGAACGTCTGAAGCCCTAGAGAGGTATTGAAGGTGAATAAAGGGGTCATTGAGTTTTCCTATGGATTCAAGACCCAAGTATTTCTGGAACCTAGAGGCAAGATCAGCAGATAGAGAGCAATTCTGTTATCAGAAATATTTCTGTTTTCACCTAAGAAAGCACTATTTTTCACTCATGAATTCCCTCTCACTACACTGGAATTAACCCCAATGGCAATTTTGGCACATATATTACAAAACCTAATGTATTTCCTTAGTGTATTTTATTCATAATCTTAATAATTCTGATAACAGATAGATTGAGAATTTCCAAAAAAAGTGCAATTTACAGCCTTTTTTACATTTTTAACTGAGAATTTTGCTCATATTTTAAAAATCAGGTAAAATAAAATAAAACAAACCTGAACAGGGTTATATGTCCCATCATTTTACTGGCAGATGAAGAGGATTATTCAATTCATTTTAATGTTGGCCCCATTAATTAACAGTAGATATGTATTTAGCCAAACGCTCAGGTTAATCTTAGTCCACATGTGGGTGTATTGAGGG